GTTGAGTTTAAGACGCTTGGTTCCATTCATCTATCCTTGTGACCCGCAGGCATCTGAGGACTGATTTGGTCACATCGAGGTTTCTCTACAAACCAGGTGCAGTGGGGTCGTCGGCTCCCGGACATCTCGGATCCAATCAGGGTCTCCAAATGGGTGAGGTAGACACAACAAGATAGCGTCTGCATGTGGTTCTGATAATAGCAACTTAATAGTTTAGATGCAAACTAAATTCTTTCATATCCAGAACGCACCTCTCTGAAGATACGGAGATTCTGATTCATCATCTCATATTCACACATAGTTTTCAGACACCCATCTTTTAGTTCCATCCACTCACAGGATCATAGTTTAAACCACTTGTCAAGTCTTAGTTGTAACATAAATTCTTATTTGTTTACAAACACTGACGGGTTCTTGAATCATAAACGAAGTGTGACGATCCCTTAATAACTAAAATAATCCTAGAAACGTCTAATTAATCATCCTAAGACCAAGCAAGGTGATATTCTATAATTAATAGAGTTAGGGTTAGGTTAACCCAGCTATGGGTCACAAGTAATGAGGATAGAAATAAATAGCTTTTAAAGAGATTTATTCAGCCCACATTACTCTACTATTTTCCATTAAAACTTTATACTTTGTTTTGACTTTTTTAGCACTAATTATCACTCCATCCTCTGGGAATGGTTTCTCTGGTGATGAGCAGGAAATCTGGGAGCCATTCTGCCATTTCCGCTGAGAAACATACATTTATCATGGAACTAACATGTATTTTTAATTTTCCTTTAACTTTATGATTGCAGGAAACATAAATTATTGTTTTAAATAAACAGATATTTAGCTGTTAAAGTTTAGTTTTCCCGATGAGGCGGATTTTCCTACCAACCCTGAAATGTTCCAGGATATAAAACAGGATAGATCAAAAGCTTTACTGACCACTCAAAGTCTGCCTCGGTGCAGTCGCAGGAGCCTGAGGTCATGCTCACTGAGTACATCTTTCCCATCACACACCTGGACGTGGGCTTCAGCTTCCGGTAAATCCGTTTCACCCCCATGAGGCACGGCTCGCCCTGTGGAATCCAGTTTAAAGCACAATCAAAAGAAAAGTCCCAGAGAGGAAGTTCACAAAATGAGCTGCTTCTGCTGCTTTCACCAGCATCAATAATTCACACCCAGCAGCCGTAAAAGTGCCGCTCAGCAGCAGCAGCAGGAGCTAAAGCTGCTGGAGTCGGATTTTAGGGACCTTTTCTTCTGTTTCAGCTCCAGAATCTGCAGCTCGTTTCTTTTTTAGGCACAAATGTATAAAATAAAATCAGCCTGAGAGACGTGAGGCTTCAGCAGCTGAGCATTCTGCCTTCCGCCTACAGGTGTCAGTAGCGAGACACCACGGAAACACGACCGGTCCTCAAATAAAACCTGAAACTTTTCCAAGTTTCACTCAAACTTGGATTTGCTTTTGCTCTCCAACACTTCTGACCCGCTAAACTCGCTCTGATCGCCTCTGACTGCTGGAAGCTTCTCAGTCTGCTCCCAACATCTGGCTGTCGGCACCGTTTACAGATGTGGGCCAAGAATAAAGGGATGCTGTAAGGCTCTGGCTCTGTTTCAGGACCGGGAGGCTGAGGGGCAGGACTAACGTATGCAGGTGCGGGTGAGGGGCGGAGTCTGTGACGACACAAAGACAGGTGCTGTGTTTTAAACAACCTGCTGGGTTCCTTGTTTCTGACTGGCTTAATGAACTGAACCGTGTTTGAAGGTTGACCGTGCGCCTGGACACGACTCCTGTCCTGATTTGGTGTTTTATAAATAAACTTGAATTGAATTAAACATGAAACATGCAGATGAAAACTCCTTAAATAAAAACAAACAGATGGAGCTTCAGGACCGCCGGGTTGTGCAAAAGGATGCAGCCGCTTTAATGACATCAGACTGCTGACGAGACAGAAACACGTCCTGTCAATATCTCCCCCCCCCCCCATAGATCTAATCTCATCTCCCTTTAATCAGAGGATGATGGGGACGTTTCCGACAGAGATGATTAAAGTGTTTTATAACAGTATTCCTGCAGCTTTGGCTCCAAACGTTTACCTCATAACTCAGATTTCAGTTTAAAAGAGTCAGTATGAATGCGTTAGTGTAAACCTTCTGCAGACTGAACTTATATTTTTCTGTATTTCATGAACAGAACAGACAAATGAAGATGTGGAACAAACAGAGAGCATTCATGAGTTAATTAGGGAAAGGCTATTTAGTTTTGATTACTCATTAAAGGGAGACTCGGCAGTCTGGGCTTGCTTTTAGCGTCCCTGTGTGTCTGTTCATTAGAACTAAGAGTAAAACGTCTTTTTAACACCTTAACCCAACAGCTGAAATGTCTCCCAGCGTTCCTTAGTGTCTACAAGAGTGATTCATCACTAAATCAAACAAATCAGCTGTGCTCAGGATCTAAAACATGCAGGAAACAAGCTCATAGTTATTCTCTAACCCTAATGTCCTGCAAACTCGACTGTCACTCTGAAGTTGCAAATGCGGTCACAGGGGGCAGTGGGGGTCTGAGTGACGTTTCATTAACCCTGTTAAAGGTCATTACAGCACACACTGGCTCAAGAAAACCATTTAAAGTATGAAAAAGTGTCTAAGTACTCCTTTAACCACGCTTTGTTTAAGTGCTTAAGGATCCCGTTAGCTACAGAAACACAACAGTTACAACATTTGGTCAAAGTGAAAGTATCAACAGAGTCAAATATCTAACAAATGCATGAACTGTTATTTCTGAGCTCCACACCTGGTCGTGCAGGTGCCATGTCTGATAATCCACCTCTGTGCACCTCCTGTTGAAGATGGACCTGAAGTCGATCTTCACCAGCTGCCACTCAGAGCGATGGCTGACGTGGCCAAAGATCCTGGGAACAAGACACGTGAGGCAGGAATGAGATCGTCTCTGACGGATTGTTGTGTTTTAAGAGTTAATAGAAAGACAAAAGGAATCAGAACCCGTTGGTTGGTGTCGTCCCATCAGAAGCTCAGGTTGTGTCTGTGTTGGTAAATCAGTCGTGTGAAAACCTTTTACCCTGTTTTATCAGATTCACGTTCCCCGTCTCTTTTAGGAGACACACATGTTTTATTTCCCTAGAAGGACTTATAAATAACATCTTCCTTCCCCAAGCGTTCCGACCGATGCTCTGGGAAGAAGACGTCGGGTCTGGGAGGGCTTAACCCTCAGACACATTCAGACTACGACGGATGTTTTTCCTTTCGCGGTTTCCACTAATAGAAACGTTTGAGCATCGAATACAAAGAAGAGCTGGAGAGAAAATGTACTTTCTCACTTTGTCAGTGCGAGCAGAACTCCCAGGAAACGGTCTGACTTTCACCGTCGGCACGCGGGGACGGAGAGCATCAGCAAATACGTTAGAAATAAACTAGTTTAAATGTGATCCACGGAAAAAACAATGACATGAAAAATGTGAAGATCCTCCTTCATTCATTCATCTCATTAAATATTCATCTTGTTGTGTGATTAGAAACAACCAAACCCAAGGTTAGGAGACTAGCTCTGTGTGTGTGTGTGTGTGTGTGTGTGTGTGTGTGTGTGTGTGTGTGTGTACTGCTATGTATTAATCACAATCTGCCAATTAGTGCCGCAGGCATCCGACCATGACAGCCACTTACTGTAGGAATTAGAACAAATTGATAAGAAAGCAGTGCGTGATGGTCTTATGAAAACTAACGGTGTGTGTGGGCCCGGAGGCTCTGCAGTCCACAACTTATCCTCAGCTCTGTGAGGTATCGTCTCCTCGGTCCCATCCACTCCTAAACCAGCCTCTCGTATCTGTGAAGGCGGCTGTCGCGTTCCCTTGCTGCACGCTGCTGCGTCTCATCCGTCTCCTGCAGAGCAGCGCCGCGGCCCGCTGTCACTCCGTCATTAATGGCAGGTGTCATGAAACATTGATATGACGTCTATGGAGCCCTTTGGTAGCACGCCCCAAAGGCCGATCTCTGCTGCAATAAAAGCTGCTGCTGTGTCATGTGAACGGCTCTGGGCTGTTCTAATAATAAATGTGACCAGAATCTTCATAACTCCTGCCTCACCCTCGCTGCCCTTCACCATTCCTAACGCAGTCAGAGCTTCAGAAGCCGACGCCTCTTCTGTTTCCTCTGCTTTTTAAAGATTTTGATCATTTCTCTTCAAATGGACGGTGGCTCTGTCACCGGCTGCCACAGCTTTGATCTGCAGCGACGGTCATCTGAAGACAGACCGGTTTGATGTCGGCTAAATCTTAAAGACTTTTTCTTTTTATTCATGCAGAGGAAAACAGGCAGAGATGGATGTGAAACAGAGCAGGAGTAGAAAGTAAAGACTCAGGTGTGTTTTGTGGTCATGCAGTGTCTTTGTTAGTAGTCAGCGTGTGACCTGCAGCAGGCCGGGAGGGTCAGTTGGGAGGATGAGAGAAATAATCATGCTAGAGTCAAGCTAACAGCTAATCAGAGCTGAAGCCATTCCAGACTGAGTTTCTGCTCTAAAGCCACTTTCACATCTGGATGAACACATCTGGACTGGGCGGGGTCAGGCCGTCCCCGCACGGCCAGCGTTTGTTCACACTAGCCACCTGCCAGACTCGACCGGTTTAATCTACACAGAGAGCTAATCTGGTTACTCACAGGCAGAGAGGCACATGAGGGGCGGGGCTAGCCAGCTCAAAAACAACCAATTAGAAAAAAGGTGGAAATGCCGACTGTACCACACAACGCCGCCATTTTTAAATGTAGTCAAAAATGGCGTCTGGCGACAGCGCAAACTTTTTTATTTTAGAGCAAAGGCTGTTAGCGCTTCCACTTGTTGTGGGTTTAAAGACGTGTTCAAGTCATTTAGAGCAGAGGAAAGTGCTGCAGCGAACTCCACTTCAGACGACGTCTTCCTCGTTCACTCGTTCACTGCCGTTGATGACTAAAGTCGTCATTTGCATGTTTTTACTGTGTGGGCGTCGGACGAGCCCCCGCAACGTGAGGACAAACATCTCAGCTCTGAAGCCGATCTTCATCCGCGTACGTCACACATCACATGATCAGGAAGCAGAACATCCACGTGTTAGGAGATCGTTTTGGGCCGCTGCTGTAAAAAAAGTGAGGCGCGAACCGGAAAAGCTTCTGCCGATCACAATTCAACAACGGATTATGAAAGAATGGATAACGCTCGAAACGCGCGGATTCTTCCTGATGTAAGAGGCGAGTCTCCGCTTTGTTTTGGATGTTTTGGCGTCGACATCATGCTAGCACGCAACGTTCTGTGCCTCTTAAAGAAACAGTGAAAACACTGAAAAACGCTGGCAGCGAAGGGCTTTCTGGCAGTTAATGAGTTAATGAGAAGCTCAGTGCTGTCATGTGTGACGTTCTCTGCTCAGCACTGATTGGCTCGGTTAGAGCTCTCAGGGGGCGGGGTTATATGAATAGAAGAGTTCCCATGCTGGCTGGTCAGGCTATGTTCACACACCCTTCTCAGGAACGCAGATGTTTCCGAACATGTGGGCGGGGCAAGAGACGCACTGGAAATGTCTTTGGCGTCCTTAAGTTAGTAGACAAAGGCGACCGTGGAGACGGACATGAACACAGCTTCCTACTCTCACTGAGCAGCTGTGCTGCGTGGGCTCCTCTCACAGCAGCCTGTCCTCCTCCTCCCACGGCCGGGTCCAGCTGCAGCCAGACCGGCAACTATCCGCGCATGCGGGAAGCCACTGCTGGATTATTTTACCCACGAATCAGAGGTTCTTGTTAGTAGGAAGGCGTGAACTTTGGCCGGCCCTTTGGTCAGTAGTGTGTGTGTGTGTGTGTTGGGTCGTCTCCACACCAAGCTGACCGTCAGAGAACAGGTCCAACAAAACGGCCAGCTGAGCACGGAGATCTGACTACACAATTACCCCAGCAGGGCTCGACCACGCTGATCCAGATCTGAACGCGCCATGAACCTCACTCAGTCGTCGGGACCAGCAGGAGGATGGGATGTAAAGGAAAACGGGACTTTTCACTTGGATGCAAACAGAAATGACTCATTTCTAGGAGAAGTTTGGACTCTATCCAGGTCCCACGGGGAAAACCAGTCATGCTAATCGGCTAATCAGAGAGTCTTGATCGATCATTCGTTCCCGGGTTTTATTAGCAACGTTCCCAGGTTACCAGGTAAACTCTAAAAACCACAAACGTGACTATTTTCATTGGTTTGTGAGATGAATCCTTGTTACTCACGTCATGATGAGCGTCTCCTCCCCAGGTTCTCCCAGAACCCCGTCCACAAACAGAGGCGTGCTGGTGAAGCTGTACTTGTTCCACTGCCGCCCTTCATCGAAGCTCAACCTGAGAACACACACATGCGCTGCAGCAGCCATCCACACTAATCCTCTGGCTGTGTGCACAAGCTAATGACCCTGAGAGTTGTTGAACAACTCCATATTCTGTGCAGGGCTCGGGGATCCGGCTCAGTGAGAGCTGGACTCATTATGACTCCAAACACACGGAGAAGAAATCCAACGACAGCCGTAAGAGCAGCCATCCTTCACGGTCGGTGGATTCTTTAACCAGAATCATATCCTCACCGCTTCAGACAAACTCATTTGCTTCTGTTTGACTAACTTTAGGCTCAGTTCTTCCTCCGGGGAATCAGGCATACCGGGAATGCTGTGATAACTCACCACAGGTGTCGGATGGGAAGCGGAGTGTGTCTTATGGCCACCAAAGCTCCACCTTGGTCCAGATAGAGCACCGCATACTCCTCATCAAAGATCTGTAGGACGAATGGAGAAAAACCTGCTTTAAAGGGAATAATTAGGGTTTTCATCAAGAATGGTTCGGACAGGTGACCCCCAAAGGGACTCGGTTGGCTTTCACCTAAACTCTGGTTTAACAGATTTCATACAGATGTGTGCAAACGGTCACATGAGCCACTGATGTCCGATGCTTTATTGTGGGATTACGTCTAAAAGAGAGGATGTAAGCTCTTGTTTTGAGAAGAATCCTGCTGCTGAAGGCATCATGTTTGTGGATAAATGAAATGAAATGTTAAATTTTGGCAATTTGTTTAAAATCATCTTCAGATGAAAGCAGCCTGAAGTCTGGAGGCCATTTACTCGACACGGATCTTCTCTCCCCGCTGATGCTCCTCTGCGCAGCATCACTTAGTATCTCTGGATCATTTTGGATTTTGTGTCTTTAATGACTCAGTTCTCCTTAAAAGTGGGTCTCTTTGGTCAATCCTGTTTTATTCAGTGACATTCACGCTACGCTAGACATCCCGAGCTAGAACACAATGTTTAGGTTTAAAGAGCATCTCATTTAAAATAATTGAAACTCATAACCTGTTTTCTGTTAAAACAGTAAAACTATTAAAATGATGAAAACAACCTTTAAAGAGACAGTGTGTACTTTTTACCATTCATTTTGGGAAATATCCATCAAAATGCTGTTAAAATGACTTAAATGATGCCCAGTTGTTGAAAAATATTGGCAGCTTTGTAACATAACCATAAAAATCAGGTCTAAATACATGAGAGCGGGTCCAAGTCTCCGGGCGACGCCAT